CCTTAGGAGTGTGCTTCTCCAGAGTGGGCAGCCGTCAGCCCTGGATCTCATTTACTTCTTGCTGGACTGTTTAGTCAGATCTTAAGTGTTCATGGTGCTCCAGTTGTTTCCATTAATATGTAGAGGTATTACTTTTTTCCCATCAGTTATTCTGGCAAGGAAATTCAAACAAATCATTCTCTTTTGCAGCATTTTTTTGGCTGGCCATTGCACCCAAACTACTGCACGGGTATATATTCTTGTGATGTTCTGGATTTAGTACCAGTGTCATAGGTGAGGAACTTTGGCAGAGAGAAATCAAGTTACATGCTTAAATCAGGTTGGGACATTGTTAGTGCTGGAAACTAAGCCCCAGTGTACTGAGCTCTGCTTCCACGCCCTTGTTACAAAGGTAACACTTTTTCTGTCCTCAAAATTAACAGGACTGAGTAAGCAATTGCACCATGAAACTCTGTGCTGACCCCCAGAATAACTGCTCTAAACTTTGTCTCTGATCTGTTTGCTAGATCTCTGACTGTCCTAGCACCACAGGGTGCAAAGGGAAAGAAAGTCTTAAAAAGTTGCTGAGCTGGCCTTTACGTAGCCTGTGCTACTCACATGGCATGTGTATGTGTGTCACAGGTAGTCCTCGACTTGACTTTGATGTTTTCTGCGCAGAAAACTTCTAGCAGAGCTGGCTAAGCTGTTGCTGCTGAGCTGTGTCACCTGGTAAAACCATGTCCTTGGTTACTCTCTACTGCTGCTGCTGTCACACTTGGGCTCAGGTTGGATGACGTTGATCCCAAGCAGGTAAGAAGTAGGTAAAATGAAATGCTCTAGGAAAGGTTAATAGAAATGCAGGTGGTGTGCATGCTAAGCAGCAAGTTTGCCAGCTCTGCACACTGTTATAAAACCTTCTTGGGGAAAGTTTTTTTTCTTCCCTGTCCCTGTATGTGAAGGTTCAGCTGCCCTGGGTGAGGAGCAGCACTCCCATGGCCTCTGCACCCTCCCACAGCCTCTGAGGTGGGACTGGGATTTGGCTGGCTGGGGCCACCCCAGCAGTGCGGCCGGGTGGGCAGCAGCCCCCGTGGACACGCACACTGCCCTTCCCCAGCGAGGAAAGCAAGGGACCGTCTGCTGCTGGGTCCATCATCTCAGGAAAGCAAGGAAGTAGCACTGTATTTACTGTACGATACAGCTGTACCGTACTGTGGTGTTGAACAAGCTGCTGGTTGGAAGCAGCGTATTTAACTATTCCAGCACCAAGCAGTTTCTGTTCATGTAAGCCATGTGATCACTTTGTGGTGTTTAGGCTTGATGAGGAAAAACTAGTGTGCTGCAGGAAGCCTGTGGGCTGTCTTCTGGAGGAAGCTTCTTCAAATGTAGCTGACCATTCTGATGTATTCTAAAGTCCCTAGAAAATGCCTGTTTAGCAGAAACCTTTTTTATTTACAAAAAAACCCAAAACACCAGAGTAAATGAGTCTTCTTCCAGAAGAGATCTAGTAGGATTTTTTTTAAAAAAATTGTCTTTTTAAAAAAAAAAAAAATCAAAAAAAAAAATCTCAGTTATCTCCTTTAGATGCTGAGGGAAATAGGTCAGTCTCTGAGCAAGCCAGCCCTCCAAAAGCCAGGCTGTGAGTGCTTACTGTCTACAATGCTACTGGGCTGGCTGCTTGCTAACAAATCCCTTTGCTTCAGTAAACTGGCATCTTATTTTCTGTCTTCCTGGAAGTTTCCTGAAGTGGTGCTATATTCATAGTTAGTAGTTTGATTGATATGATTCACAGGCCATCCAACATGGATGTGGGTGGGTTTGAAAGGCTGAGACTGGTGGAGGGCTTTGTCTGGAACAAGGCACTGAGACCATGTGATTCTCACTAAGGAATGATGTCAGATGGGGTTATAAATCTACAAAGACTTTTAACTTTAATGCCCGTTTGCTGAATAACTCTTTTCTTTGCACTCCGCAGGAGAGTTCTGACTTCCCATCTGACACTAAAAATTTCATCACATGCGAAAGAAGCAATCTGTCAATGTACCACGCTAGAGATGGATTGATGGCAGTTGCTTTTGTTCTATTTAAAATAGCTTCTGCACACATCTGGCAAGATTAAGCATCGTTTTGATAGGTACATGTGACATTTTATCTTTGCAAGAATGATATATCATAAATGAAACCTGAGCTGGACTTTCTTTTTATTTCTCCACATTGTTCTGGGTACCTGCTAATAGCTCCCATGATTGCTAATGGTTCTCTGGGTAGAAGATGGCTACAGAGCCTATCAGAAGCTGTAAGAGGAAAGGGAATCCATACTGGAAGGCAAGATCTGAATCTTTCTAACTCTGCAGCAGCTCTGATCCAAATCTTGATTTCTTGGCCCCAGCCCAAGGATTCGTTTGTTCTTTTCTGAATAAAGTACTATTGTAAGGCTGCCCAGAACATAAAGGTATAACTTTTCACTAAAAAAAAAAAAATAATACAAGCCTCCTCGTCGGCTGCAGTTTGCCAGTATGTGTATCCTTAAACTGAAAGGGAGCATCTTCCAGCTGGAGGGTGGCCTGTGATGACAGAGTGTTAATTCTGTACTAGCTTGCACTACTGTCTGCTTCAAAGGTTTTTTTCTGAGCAAAATTTTATTGGTTCGATGTGTAGGAAAAACAGGGACAACATCTTAGCAAAATAATTCCTTTATCAGTACAATCTGTCCCTCTGCAAGAAGGTTTTCCACCTAAAGCTCCAGTGTTTTCCCTCCAGGATGTATAGCTGTGTTTCCCCCATGAGCCATTAAGAGTGAAACATCCATTTAAAATCTTCAAATTATTATTCTGGAACAAAAATATTTCAGGGAAAGCAGATGAGCCTAATCCATATCCCTGGAAGGTATGGCCATCTCAGATTGCTGTGCACAGAATGTACCCAGCCAAGTAATGGCTTTTTGCCTCTGCTGCTGTCATTGTGAGGCAATTCCACAACCCCCTTCCTTTGACGGTTACACACCTTCTCATTTATTTAGGTCAATTTGTTTCATTGCAAGCATCAACCTTTACCAATACATTAAGAGGGGAAAGAATGCCTGAAACTAAACAGCAATCAGATTTTCCCCTTCATGCTCATTTGAAGAGATGAAGTCCTTTTAATGTCCTGTTATACTATAGGTTAGCTATACCTGTCATCATCCCTGAAGTCTTTTTCTGCATCTCTTCAAGGCAGAGGAATCTGGCCAGAATTGTACAGAAGGTATCACATGTGGGTCTGATACAAGGGCTTATGTCTTCCTTCAGTTCTCATGCAGACCACAACTGCCTTTTTCTTTTTGAGCTGGTGTCACATGATTATCCTGCTAAGGTCTTGTATACTTGGGTCTCCCTCCTCTACTGTTATTAAATTATGATTTAATATAACAGATAAAATACAGAATAATTATCTCTGTATAAATGTCTGTGTGCTTTTGGGCTGTTAGGGTTCACCAAGAGCTTACAGCAAAACCAAGTCTGCTTGTGCTTTCCTGAGGTTTTCTGTCCCCTGGAATTTGGAGAAAGCACTTCTGCAGGACCCAACTCTCTCTACTCACCCTGTGGTGGACCCTTTTCTCCTGGCTGGGTTTTATGACACTGTTCTCTTGATCCCAATGTTCCTGGCCAGTTGAAGTAAGTTTTACGTCTGACAGAAGTAACACTGAAGAACATCTAAGCTGGTCTTTACAGCATTTCCTTCTGTTTGTGAGAGGCAGGTTGTTTATACCTGTTGTGTTGCTCTCCCGCTCCTTCCTTTAGGCAGGGCCCCAATTTATTTAGATTAGTACACACATAAAGGAAATGTTAACATAACCACTGTTATTACAAATTACTTTGTTCAGACACCAGCAGTTACAAAATTCACTCTGCTGCAATTTACTGCCCTAGTATTACTGGCTTCTGCCCGTGTTTAACTCTTGGTCACTTGACGAAAGCAAGTCGTTCTTTCCCTCCCCTGGAGCTGCCCAATCTAAAGAATTTTCTGTGTCTACTCAATCTTTTGCTTGTCCTAGAGGTCTCCAGAGGAAACAATAGCTTAGTATTTTGGTGTTCGAAGCTAGAGACCTCTTTTCTCTCTTGGTCTGTGCAAGTTAAAAATAAGTAAAGAAGCAAAGGATGAAAATCTGCTTTTCTTCACTGCAGGTCACTGCTATCAGATCTTTGCATTGCTGGTGTGGTACTATGGTAGGTACACTGGATCATCCTTATACAGAAGCTCTGTGGCTTTTCACTGCACATTTATAGATGAAGATGATGCTGTTGGGCCCAGAATCCTTTTTACCCTTTGTGCAACATAATTCCAGGGAAACTTTTCCCTCTCCTGGTTATGAGTAGTATTTTCTTCTTAGTGCAGTGTGTGGAATGGTCACTACAGAATTAATACTTTTCTGCATTGCAGTGTTGTATTCAAGAGCTGGGGCTCAGGTGAGATGGAGGCAGTATCTTCTGCTCTCTCCTGTTCTCCACTCTCTCCCTTAATGTCACTCTGAGATGGGCTTTGATGCTGCTCAGGACACGTCCTGCCTAGGACTGAATTGCCAGTCAAAGCCAGGGTGAGAGAAAGTAATAAATGTTGAGTTTGACTCTCTCATCTAGCAATCAATAGTGACTTTTATCAGGGACCTGCATCTATAATTTCTCTAATACCAAATGCAGACTGTGAGCTTGAGGCAGACTGTCTGCAGTTCCTCTGTTTAAGATGCTTTGCAAGTGCTTGTGACCGTATAAAGCTGAGTGAGCCTGTGTCCTGTGTGGTGATCTAGCCTATGGCAAGTCCCAGGTTTCTAATCTCCAGGAATGAGAAAGCGCTGTGTGTCTGCAGTGGGTCACTTCTGAATAGCTGCAGTGGGAAGGGCTGACATTTAGCAATTGCAGCCTCAAAATTGATACACATAAGATGGCACAGGTTAAAACAGGAGCAGATGCCTCACAGCATGTATGTGTCTGCATTGGTTATACGATACCCCAGAACTTCAGATGCTTTACCAGGCACAATGCAGGCAGTTCTTCCCCAAATCCTAGTCCTGCAGGAAAGGCAGGATGCAGGAAGGAAAAATGTGATGCTGATGTGCTTTCCTGTGGGCATTACAGGGAACAGGTTATTTTGCAGGACTGTGTGTGTATTTCTGCAGGTAGAGAGGATTTCAAGAAAGGAACAAGGACTTAGGGAACCAGAATAAAAAACTTGTTGTGGGAGTACTAAATAGGAGATGAATGTAGACTCACCTGAGCTGTGTGACACATTCCTATGTCTCTGTGCTGTGACAAGAAGGAGCTGGTACCTAAGAGGCAGGGCAGAGGCTGTGCTTGCCACATCTCCAAGATGCCACAAGGCATGGAGGCAGGCAGAATTTTGTGCTCTAACTTTGATCAGCAATGGCCCTTTAAGGCTGAGCAAGGCATGCAGCACAGACACTGCCCAGTTCCAAACCCAGCAGCCACGTGAAGTGTACCCGGGTGGGCAGTGCCAGGCTGGCACAGCAAAAGCCTCCCCGTGGCAGAGGGAATCTGATTGTACTTGCTGGCACCCACCCACTCTGCTCCCCTTTTCCTTGGGTCAAGTGAGAAGAACCTGTCTCCAAGCACAAGATTTTGGAGGTATGTGTCAGAGTAAGAGATGCCTGATGGTAAAATATCTGTCTTGCCCTGATTTCTGCCTGGAGTGCTGCAATGTCAAGTGAAATAACCTTCTAAGCTGTCTCTGGTGCAGAGGTATTTTGGCTTATGTTATTGCTGGGAGCTTTCTCTCTGATGAGCTCTCTCTGCGCTCCTGATCTCTGGCTCTCTTCACTCTTTTTTTTCCTTGGGCTGGGATGTGTACTGTCTGTAATGCATCAGGAAGTAATACGCAATGAGGAAACTCTCATCGTCTCTGCATCAGGGAGAGAATTATTGACTGAGTGCTGAGCAGTCAAGTTATTGATTCAAACCATAGCCCAGTCTCTCCGTCTGCCGCTTGGAGTGGCCGGGTACGTCCTTCTGGTTCGCTGCATTTAATCGGATTCCCTGAGCTGCTGCACAGAGGGGGAGAGTCAGAGCCAGATCCATCTATAATGTTCGCTTCAAAATCCAGTTCTGTATCCCCTTCTCCGTCCATGGAGCAGGCAGATTCAGATGCTCTGGACATCAGCACCAAAGTGCAGCTGTACGGCGTGCTCTGGAAGAGACCTTTTGGAAGGCAGTCAGCCAAGTGGTCCAGGAGGTAAGCCACAGTCTCTGAGGGATGCTCAGGTGAAATACAGAGCCTAAAGGGGTTAGGGTAAGTTTAGAGCCCAAGTACTTGGCTCTTCAAGTGCAGCTAGCCAGGCAGAGACTAGGGGTGAAACTTTGGGCATGGCTTCCCTGATGTTCCAAGTCTGCTTTACACAATGGCACCCCATTGTGCTTTCTTCTTTATCTGCCCAGACCCTGTACTACATGCACTTCAGGCTGGGAATAGGGACTAGCTGCCTCCTCTGGATAGTTATGTTATGATCACTGCATGAAAGAGGAAGAGTCGGCCCATATATTTTGCCCCCAAAGTGCTTGGCTTTGTTCATTGGCACTTGTTAAAGCTCTTTGAGTCCTTCAGGTGTGAGATGGCTCAACTGAACTAACTGTGCGTGTGGGACTGTATGCGTGTGTGCAGTCTGCGGGGGTTTGTGGACAAGCACCAGTACTGCTGTGCTGCACGACGGTGATGGCATGTTTGGGACAGCAAATGCAGACTCTTCCCTGGAGGGAAGGTGTCTCTGAATTCTCTCCCATCTGGTGCTAGGGAGTTGTAAGGTGTTGTGTGTCGTATATCAGCAACCAGGAAGTTTGGAGCTGGAAAGCATTTGCTATAACCTTCCACCAGGAACAGAAGCATATTCTATAATATTGAAGTGATGGGTCAGTCTGTGGTTTAAAGTTGGTGCAGTTTCTTTATGCGAATCACTGAATCTCACAGGAGAGTCTTCCGCTAGTTGTCAAATGATGAGACATGACTCTTTATGGGTGGGTACTTGTATAGAAACATGGTACAGCTCCTTCTCATTGCTCACTGAGGGTACATCATCCAGTGGATTAAGTCTTCCAGCATCCTGGATGTCAGATTAATGTCACTGCTTATAGATGTCATTGGCAAATGATTCAGTTAGAAGACTAGCAGCAGAGAAATATTTTCATCCAACCACTGCCAGAGATATGTTTTGTGACCCAGGGTTTGGTGTTGTGATCTATTAAAGAAGAATAGTAGTACTTATCCGCCTTTAGTAGTTTGATATCTGCAGATGAAAAAGTCTGCTAGAAAAGCAAAGTTATGTTGTTTTCTTCCTCCCCTCCCCTTTCCACTGGGAAAGGCACAAATGAGTCTTTAACAAAAGGCAGCACAGGGAGCCTGAGCTACCTCTGGAGCTGAAACGCAGTTTTGTAGCCTTTGTAGCATAGTGTGTCTCAAGGCTTTTTGGAAGAGTAAATTAACCAGTACGTGAACAATGACTGTCAGCTCCCTCTGGTACTTACCTTTTGTGGGTACCTGTTTGCTGGAGTCTGCAATGTAGACACAGCACATCAAATCCACCTCTAAACCCAGCTTTCCAGTTTTACTCTGTGTAGTAACCACAGTTCTGTCGAGTTTAAGCCTGTGAGGATGGCATGGCCTGAAAAATAGTTAAATATTGCTTGGGATGCATTTTGTGTTTGTAGCTGTCTTTGACCTGCATGCAGGTTTTATTCTGTGTATCTCCCCCACCAATGACTTTTTTTTACCCAGGAGAGAATTTGTGCTGATGCTCCCTACTCAGCTCCCAAACATTGATATTTGAATGAATTATATCTGGAAACTAATGTGACTGTGTTACAGAAAAGAAGTGGTCAGAATAGCAGTGGGGAAGGTAATTTGCTATGGAGGAGGCTTTCTTAAAAGTCTTTCTTCTTCCTAATCAAAATTTCTTGGAGGCAAATAGCCTATCTCTGCTCTCTGTCATTATTTATTTAGTGCTGTTCTATTCCTAGAAGTCACCCCTATCTTCAGCAAGTGGTAAATATTTTAGTGATGGCAGGTGGGAAGAGATGGAGAGGTGAGCGTGGGGCAGGGATGATGTGGAAGGTTAGCTGCAAGCACAGCAGCTGAGGGTCCTGAGAGACCAGACACAGATCAGTGGGACAGGGAGTCTGTAGGGTTTGGAAGGAAGGGGTTTCCAGAGTAAAAAGACTGTAATAGGAGGAATAATAACATTTTTTATCACAGGAGAGATTTGCTTTAAAGAAAAAAAATCTTACATGTTACTATAAGTCAGTCATGGGGGCATAAGGATCAATTCATCCATTCCTCCCACTTACCCCCCATGCCCAGCAAGACACACAGCTGGTCAAGTACATTATTTTATGAAAAGGAGATGTTTCCCACTCCAGCTAAATTAAGAAAACAATATTAACTATTGCTAGATACAGTTGAGGACTGAGCAATGTAGAATTTGCCCTGAAATCTTGGATTACTACTTTTTGTCTGCTTGGTATTTACAGGTAGTACCTTTGCTGTGAAGTAATTTTGCACTGGACAATAGTACTACTCCCTGTCCCAAGGAAAGTCTTTTCAAGCTATGGGAGATAAACCAGCATGTAACAGGAAAATCGATCACATCAGGGCATCTGGGTCTGCGTGGCTGTTAAGAAATGCATGATACTTATTGGCTTGACCATTATAATTTGGCTGTAGCAAGTGCTGCTGGAGACACTGAAAACAAGTGTTTAAGGGAAGGATGGAGGCTGACTGGATAATGGATCAAGGAAAAAAGTCCAGTCACGGTGTCCAGTGCTTTGGAAATTGAAATCACGGATTTGGGGATTTTGCAGCAGTAGAGGTTGAGCAGGGAGGGACAGCAGAGCCTTGTTCTAGTCAGGGCTGGCATCTGTGAGGACAGCAGGGCTTGAAATGAGGCAGTTGTTTGGAGTGCTTTCAGTGCTTTCCCTTGCCCACACAATGGTCTGTCCTGCAGCCTAAGCATTTGTGTGCTGCCTCCGCTACTGACCGAGAGTGGGCTGGGTGCTTCTGGCACTGGACCAACGTGGCTGTGTTTATCTGCCAGGGCTGACGTCTGAGCATGCTGCCTTTCAGAGCTTTATTTTGAAATGCCATTAGCAGCATCCTAGCTCCTATCTCCCCAAGAGAAGTCCTATTCGTAATGTGAATTTTCTTTCCTTGTAAAATAATAACCTTCCAAGAGAGTTGCAACCATCTTCTGAGTTCACTGGTGCTTTTGACCACTGGGTCATTGGAGTGGCTTTGGAAAGTCCTATTCTCAGCCCTTGATTTATGGTCTTCCTTTGCCCTCCAAATCGCACCCTGTTCTTCCTTCCAAATAACAACAAGCAATTCAGTCCCTTTACTACAAAAGTTACACTGGTAACAGCATCAGGCTGGCATGGAGTCTGGAATGAAATGCACAAGGTACGTACCTGCCCTGGACGTGGCATGAATGGGGCACTGTAGCTTTGCAGGTGGGAAGTGACACCGTGTTCTCTACTGTGAATAATCCCAGCACTGTGCAGAAATGTCAGGCTCTAAACTGACTGTCACCATTCAGGTGTGAGGTTCTGGGGCTAAGGACAAGCATTCCAGATGGGCATCTGCTCAGTGGTCAACCAGAGTCAGAAAAACAAGGTGGAACATGAGGAATTGCAAAGAGTAGAGGATAAACCACAAAATATGCTTATACCTCTGAGTAAATCCATCAGACGTGCCAGGTTGCTGCTGGAAGGAGATGAACGCAGCACAGTTAAGAAAGAAATTTTATCTTTTCTTGGACCAATCCTGGCTGTGGCACTGCAAAGCATGCATGTAACCTTGTTTTCTAGCACAGTGGCTGCCAACAGTCACCGCATGTGGTCACAGGACAGATGGAAAAGATGATTGTTTAGGACTCTTTGCTGCTCTGAAAAATCTAGAAAGCACACAGCTGCAGAGCGGCATGTACGTGTGTGGCACAGGGGCAGCAGGACTGCCGAGGCAGCGGGGCTGTGAGTCAGGCAGACTGTGTGCTTCCCTCTCATCCTTATAAACTTCCCCCTTGGCTGGTTGCTGTCAGGAAGCATCTGCCTCTTCCCGCTCCCTGCCTGGCTGGGCCCCACTCCAGCTGCCAGGCGCCGGGGCAGGAGGCAGGCAGGGAAGCCTGGAGCTCTCAGGAGAGGAAGAGTGAGGGACAAGTACTGCTGTCTCTGAGCTGACGTGCTGATAAAGATCATTTGCCCATCGTTTTCTTGAGCTGTCCCCAGGGAGGGAGGACTGGGCTGATCTTGTCACTGGGATTTGCTGCCTGTACTCCTGGACTGGTGCCCAGAAAACCACCATTGGAAGGAAGGAAGGACCAGTGAGAATGCTGCAGTTTTATATTATAAATATTTAACATGGGATATTGTCACTTTAAAAACTTTTACAAAGATTAGCTAATTAATCTCGTTAGCCCTCTGTGACACAGTGAAAGCGCTTTATCCCCAGAGATCAGGTATCTTTACTTGTTCAGTGTATAGCTGTTGTTTCTAATCCTGGCATAGTCGCTGGGATTGTTACAGTTCCAGTTCCTTTGCTATTCCAGTTTAATTATGCTGCGGTTTCAGTGGTTTCTTAGTGCAGGATCTAGCAACAGGGGATGGGTGACCCAAAAGAGTTGGCCATGTGTGAATGGCTCTTGTATTGTGCTGCACATGGAGTGTGCGTGGTTGGACCAGGCCTTCTCGCCTTCACTGCTGCTCTCCAGGCTTTCTGAATGCTGCTCTGTTTTATAAATCTCTTCTTTATTTGGTTTCTTGTTTGTACTCAAAATCTTCCCCTGTCTTTCCAGCACTCCCTTTCTTCTGCTGGCACACGTGTGCCTAATTCAGATATGTGTTCAGTCAGTCCCCCAGTCCTAAATGAGGGGGTCTCCCTATTCTCCCTTGACCATCTTTTTCCCTTTCTGCTCTTACTCACCTGGCTGCTGCTTCAGTCTTCAACTTGCTCTTGAGTCTTGTAACTCTTTCTCCTCTATTCTTTCACTTCATTCCTCTTTTCATTGTGCTCTGTCGATTATCCTTCTACTGTATGGAGACTTTGTCCTGAAAGTCAAAGTTAAAATGGTGATCTTGGTTGCTTAGATGTTGGCTTCTAGGTGAGGATAAAAGAAAGCATATGATCTGAGCATGAAGATAATTATGTTCATGAGTTAACCAGATTTTAAATGTATTTCCTTCTTTATTTTTTTCTTCTCTTCCTTTTTCCATTCATTTGGTTTGCTGTGGTTTTTTGTTGTTGTTGTTGTTGTTGTTGTTGTTGTTGTTGTTGTTGTTGTTGTTGTTGTTGTTTAAACTCTTGTTTTGTACATTTACATTCCAAATCCCCACAGATTCTCTCCACATCTGTGAGGTCAGGGATCTAAAAGTTTATTAATCTGCCAGAGACACATCAATCCTTACAGGTCTGTGCTATGCTTTGTTCTTGTTTTTGTTTTTGTTTTCACTGGAGCATAATCTATAATATGGGGATTATCAGGAGCACTGAGCAGACAAAATGTGTGTAACAAACTAAAGCCTGGCTTTATCTGGGAGTAAAGCTTTATATTAAAAATCACACGTAGTTAAAGATCAGTATCTACCTATCTTGCAAATGTTTTCTTGAGGTTGTTCAGACTGAAAAGACTGTTGAAAGCAAAGAATAGACTTCCTCCTTTTCACGTGGTGTGTTGGTTTTTTTATTCCTCAGTTTTGTATTCGTGCCTGCGGTATCTGGTTCACTCTAACCCACTGGACCAAGCACAGGCCATTTTTCAGGCAGGATTGTTCTTTAAAGATGTTATTTCTGTACTTATTGTGCAGATGAGACAACATGTTCCTCTAAAAAATCAAGTTCTTGTTGAACTAAGCATTAGAGACATAAAGTGAAGATGCAGCTACTCATAAGAAAACGTTCTTAAAAAGTTAATGGGAAGAGGTTGGTGGAAAAATGAAACAAAGGCACAAGACTGCAGCTTACAGAAGTGATGTGGACAGGAGGAACCAAAACCGAGCCCTGTCTGCTCTGTGGAGGTCTCTCTGATATATGCCTTGGCCAGGGTCAGCTCCAAGCCTGCTGCAGGGTTGTGGCTGCCTTTGCCATTAATCAAATATATCTGAAAATACCAATCCTTGTTTCACGCAGAGGTGAGACCACAGTAATGTGTCCCACAGAGATGTGCCTAATGCATCTGCTATAAATGGGCTGGTGTCTCAAAGTTGTGTGAGCAGTTCAGCCCCCCTGCTTCTCTGGGATGCTCCTTCCCATCCCTGCCTACTGTCATGAGGAAACCATCCTGGTCCCTGGTCTGTGACACTGACAAGAGATTTAGAATGGAGATTTTCACAACAGGGAAAGCGAGTTGTGCCCCATGGGCAGTCCACCTCCCTGTCCATCTTAGGCATCTCTTACAGCCATACAGAGGGAACATGGACAGCCACCACAATTTGGTCAGGCATTACTTTCCCAACTGAGGGGACGTTAGATGCAGCTCCTCTGAGAGGTGCACTGGAACACGAGCTCAGGCTGGAAGGGAGGTGGTCCCCTGGGTGGAAGGTGAATAGTAGTTGCTCCTACTCAGATGACTTGCTGGACAGGCTGCACTGTGAATGAGCATCTTTTTGGTCTTCTGTCAATCAAATGAACTCAGTGCAGAAGAGTGATTTTTGCCCTGAGTTGTACTGTTCTGCCTAGAGAGATTTTGCCAGGCTGTGGTCAGGAACAAGAGGTGAGGTTAGGCAGTCAGCCACCATGTTCATGGAGTATCAAATGAGAAGACAGTGACCTGTTGAGGAAGCAAGGTGGCTTCTTCTCCCCACCTCTGATGTCAACACCAACAGGTATAGATGAGTGAGCAAGGAGAAGAAAAGATTTGGGGCTCAATAACTGCTGCTGGTGTTTGTACATTATGATGAGTTCTGGATGTAAATATGCACATGTTCAATGACTGTCATTTTTAAATATTTTGGAGCCGGTGCACAGTAGGTCCAGAGCTTGAGCCTGCTGCAGGCAGTCAGAAGTTTAGCTTTGTTCTGCGTTTTTCAGTCCCTCTGTGAACCCATCGTTTGTGTTTCCATGGCATGGGGCAATTTCATCTGTTTTGTCAGAGCCACGGCAGAAGAGCAAGAGATAGGAGCTGGTGGAAGTGATAAAGCTTTCCCCCAAGTGTAATAATAATAATATTGCTAATAATATAATGATATATATTATTATAATGATAATTCTCTGCCAGCTTTGATTTCTTTCTTTAGCTTTAGGAACTAAGCTGGTATCAGATTGCTGTGCTCGGCTGCATCTGACAGGCCCTCTGCTTCAGGAGAGGACTGGGGTAGCATGGGCACATGGAGGTATTACAGTTGCTCTTGTGGATCAGACCTCTTGGCCAGTAGCCCATCGCTAACAGCGGTTTCAGAGGAAGGTGCAGGAATCCCCAGGCTGCACAACTGGAGAGCGCTGCCTGGAGAAGTCTCTTCCTGATCCCTCTCAGCAAAGGCTTTCTGCCCAGAGGCAGGAGGGTTTTCTGGGGATGTTCTCGTTATTCACAGAAATGCCTTATCTTTTCCAGATTCCTCATGAGCTCTTGTCCTTGGGACCACATGAAAGTGATTTATACAACAGTGTTTTGTGCAGTGTAAAAAGGCTTTCTTTATTTATTTTCAGCTATTGCCTTTCACTTTCTTCCCAAACCCCTCTTTTCTCCTACCAGAAAATATGTACAGAACAGTGCCACACATTTTCTTTGTCATTTATTCTTCTGAAACATCCCTATTAAACTTGTCCCCATTTTTTCAGCTGCTCTTCAGAATTTTTGAGTGCTGCAGAGATTTGGACTGGCTTTAAGCTAAGTCAGATACCTCTCCTCTGTACCACTGCCTTCAGGGTAAATGCAACCTCAATTTTTGAAGAGGAGAGGGACTCTCCCAGGGGCATTTTGAACATCCAAATAAGCTAAAAGTGGCACTCCTTTAATCACAATTTTGAGGACACGCTCCAGTAAATTAGAGGCTTGGTTTGCAGAAGCTGTGATATTTTGTGGCTACTGTATAGTGTTCATCAGAGCATACCTAAGGCTAACTGAGAAGAAAAGGCACATTTTAATGTGACACATATGAGGAAAAAAAAATTTCCTTTGTATTTACAAAGGTCAATGACAGGAGATTTTGCCAGGAGCTCTACTTAAAAATATCTCTAAAATTTATTTTTGCTCCTGAGTAATTTCATGGCCAATCTTTTGCCTCAAGAGTCTCTTGGGGATGCTAGCCTGTGACTCTCCCTGCCATGTGACTCAGTGTTACAGTGGAAGACTTCCCTTTTGGCTTATGCTGAGACGGGAAGAAAGAGGGTGTCAGGGAGTAGATTGAAAAAAAAAAAAAAGAAAAAGCTTTTAGTTGCTCTTAGCTCATGTGAGAGAGACCCTTAGAAAAAGGAGCAGCTGTCTTCCAAGAGGTTGAATCTAATGCATGGACTAGATAGTGTGCACAGGTCAAGATGCCAAAGGGCTTTGGCTATTCTCCTGTCTTGGACACAGACTGCTGTCCAGTTCCTCTGTAAGTAAATGGTGCGATGGTTTGCCTTCAACACTCGTGTGTGGATGCTGTGATAAACTGAAAGCACTTGAACTTGGAACTTAGTGTTGAGCATTAGGTCTTGACTATGAGCAGAAGTGAGGCACCTGACCTTAGGCTTAGATGGGAATAGTAAACTCTTCTGCTCAAAAAGAAGCTTTAGGTGGAGGTTTTCTTGTGCTGTGAACCATGACCTCTGCTCTAGCAGAATTTATTTCCTTTCTCTGTCTTAAAGGTTCTTCATAATTAAGGAAAGTTTCCTGCTCTACTATGCTGAGAGTGAGAAGAAGAGTTTTGAAAGCAATAAATACTTCAATATCCACCCCAAGGTGAGCAGTGTTTGCATGGGAGAGTGGATTATTCTGTGTCTAGCTTCCCTCCCCCTCCACAGGCCCCACAAATGAAGAAGAGGTAAGTTAAAACTTCTCACAGATCGAGGGAATACTCAAAAAAAACAAGAATCATGTCAGTACCTCTTCAGGCTCCTTAATGATTCATCAGGTACATGACTAATATTTTTTTTAACCTGATAGTAGAAGTATTCCCTTGTTTTCATCATCTCTGAATTGACTAATCTTGTGGCAATGAGCATGCTGCTGGCGAAGCCAGTGGTGAGGCTAACAGCTTTGGTTGCTGCTTGTTCCTATCCTGCAGCCGCAGCCAGCCCCTGCTAACCCACATACTCTGGGCCCCGAGAAGCAGCCTCCGTAGCTTTGCAGCCTGGAGCTCTCACAGGGGTATTCTGTGCTCTGAGTCTGCTTTGATCCTCTGTAGTCACTTGAGGCTGATGAAGCACATGTGCTTCTAGAGGTGCTGACTTCACTGGGCCGGATTAGGGGCAGCAGGCCATTCATCCGTCCCCTCGCAGCACATGTGGAACAGTGACTGTAATGGATGCACCCCGTCTCTCACGGTACCGCACTCTGAATTTGCAACATCTGCCTCGTTTAGGAAATCACCTCCTCCTTGATAAGAGTTCCTATTTCTGTGTTCTAGCTAGCAGCTTTCCCTCCGAGCTGAATGCAGGAGAGCCATCTTTATCCCCTTTCAAATACCACTTGGAGGTGTCCTGGTTGTGGTGGGAGTCCCTCTGCTTTTCAGGAACTGTGTATTGCCCCTTCTGGGATAGCCAAGGCAGGGCAGCAGCCCATGGCTGACCAAGGATAAAAGTTTAGCTCTTGGTTAGTTAATAGTTATACTTGGTTTTGCTGACTGATTAGAGCACTCTGGTTTATCCCCAGGGTGTCATACCCCTGGGAGGCTGCATCGTGGAGCCCAAAGAGGAGCCCAATATGCCTTATGCCATAAAGATCTCTCATGAAGACTTCCATGTAAGTAGACTTCTTTTCTTCTCAGAAAAATCCAAACACCACAAAACATTCTATTGCTGATGAGCAGAGCTGCATGGGCAGTCTTTCCCACCCCACCAAGGTGTGGCCACCCTCTCTGGGCAGATTATCCTGTGAGAGAGGGTGTTTTAGCATCCCAAGTCCCCTCAAGGCTTTGCTGCTGCTCCTGCTTTGACAACCAAGAAGGAAACTTGCTCTTTCTGACAGCAGGTCTTATAATACTAGCAGACCAGTGGACAGATATTCAGGAGCCTTAGAGCTCATGTTGCCCTATCACTTTATTTCCTACCATGACCACTTGCTGTGTGCATCTCCTTCCAATGTGTGGTAGGCCCAGGTCATTTGTGCTTCCTCATGATGCCTCCTGTGGAGGTGAAAGCTTGTGGTGGGCTCTCCTCTGGCCATAGCTGTGCTAGCTGTGTCCAGTTCATGCCCTGAGTGCACAGAGGTGTAAAGCACCAGCCTCTCTAATCTGGGTTTTTTTCCCCTCCCCTCCCCTCTTCCAGGGTAACATTGTTCTAGCAGCTGAATCAGAGTTTGATCAGGCTCAGTGGCTGGAGATGCTACAGGAGTCTGGAAAAGTGTAAGCTTCTTTCTATTCCTTATTTTCTTTGATCTACTCTGTAGATGTGTACAGGATAAAGAGGAAGAAGCCTGGCTAGAAGGACTACGGGGAGGCAGACAAGCTCCCCAAGACTAGTGAGACCTTCGCTTGTCTCCTGGATCCATCTTTTCTATAATAAAAATGAGAATGCTCTAAAGCTGACTCAAAGCTTCCCACCTTGGCGTGCAGTGTGGTATGCAGTATGACTCTGCTAGCAACCCCAGGCTGTCATCTGTCAAATGCTGATACACCTAGGGGCGTCTTTTGTCTTAGAGAAGTGGGACCTGGGACTGAACGGGAGTTCTCCTGGTCCGTTTTGCGTGGGAAGCAAGGCCCGTAGGCTTGACAAAGGTGCAGGACAGAAAACCTCCCTGCACTGCAGAGGTATGAATTTGGGGTAAGATAAGAGCAGAACAGGCAAGGCACAAAGTTAGTGGGCAGCCACCCATGTGGCTCCACAGCCTGCTGGTGAGAGGATCCTGAGCAGTTCTGCTCATGCGAAGATGTCAGCAGCAGCCCTGAGACAATTGTGTGACCGTGGGGTGTGCATCCCTTCTGCCCAGACCCTAGGGTGCTCAGGCCACACAGCAGCAGGATTTGGCCTCTCAAGACAGTTTAATTCGGAAATGTGGAGGCAGGCTAAATCCCAGGGGAGGAGGTGTTAGCAAAACTCTTCCTGCCCACCTACAAGGGTGAGTGGGTTTGACTGCTGTATGAATACAATATTGAGTTCATAGTCTGCTGAGAATGCTGGAGAGATTTGCAGTCTGTTGGCCATGAGCTCTGCAGTCCCTCAGCACCCAGGAGCCTGACAGTACAACGAGCAGCTGTCCTGCGAAGCCAGAGCAGGCTCTTTCTAAAGCTCCGTAGATGCAAGAAGAGGTAACACATAAACAGGTATTTGACTCTCCTGAGCCAGGTAGAAACTTCCACAGTGTGTAGAGCAGAGCCTACTATTCAGCTATGAAGCTTGAGCACTTCACTCTGCTCTTTGTGGCTGCATTACATGTGTATGTGGTCTTTTGTGACTGTAGGGACAAAAGTTGCTCTTTCAGGCAAATTTAACTTGTAACACCAGCGTGTGCATGGGAACTCAGTATCTGAGTTAATTCCAATGATATGAGGCTGCAAATGTTCATTTGTAATTAATGGGAAACACAGAATTACAGTGGATCAGTGCAAGCTGAACTCTGCTCTGTGGCAGTGAGCCTGGCTTTGGTGCTAGAGCAAGCTGCTACCTCCATGGTACTGCACAAACTGCAACACAAAGCTGCTGGTTAAAGCTTTAAGGGAGCATGAGCCCCATGGGACACAAGACCTGAGGCAGAGGTCTGTCACCCACTCAGCACAAGCAGGCTTGGTCACTGCAGAGGAGAAGAGACCCAGATTTAGCCTTGACTAATTCAGAGGTTTTTCTTCAGTAACACAGGTCTGCACTTGGTGCTACACCAGTGATAAACTTAGCTATTGCCAAGGGCAGTAATTCAGGGGCCAAATTAATCTTTCAGGTGTGTATGGGAGGGAAGGAGTGTGGCTGTGCACAGCTCAGGAGGGGTTCTCACAAGTAAGCCATGTGTGACTGCTTGTTTCAAAGAGCCAGCATTTTCCCTAGTCTTTGATTCAGTATTCCAGCACTAGTTTTAAAACAGCAGCTAGACGGTGGCTGTTATCATACAGCAGACTACCAGCACCTAGGTGAAAATCTGCCTGAGACACCCCCTTCCCTCCCCTCTGCTTCTGTTCTTGCATCAGAGGAGGAGAGCAATGCAGCTCCAGTGCTGATCTAATCAGTGGTGATGGTAGCCTGCATGTGAGGAAAAGCACAGATTGTGTGATTTATGTTAGCAGGGTCAGGTTGGGAGTTAAGCAGCAGCCAGAAAGGCACAGCATGGGCAGTAAATTGATCTGCAATGAATAGGAAAGCTAAAAGGACACAGCTGAAATCTTCTAGTCAACCTGCCTTAGTGCTCCATTGTTCCTGGATGGAGATTGTACCTCCAATGGCACTGCAGCATTTAGTGTACTGTGATCATCCTACAGTCTTATTATTTAAAACCAACCAAAGGAAAAAACCCAAACCACACCACCCTCAAAACCCCCCAGCTCCATAGACTGAGATTTTGTTACGTAGGGGAAAGAGAAAAAAATGAACCCAGGATGGGAAGTGTCCTCTACCCTCTCTCCTTTGTTTCAAATTTATCTGCTGTCTCTTTACATCTGGGTCTGGGTGGGGTGTGTGTGTGTGTGCCTGCACAACTGCTTAAAACCTCCACCATCACAATCTGCTCAGTGATGCCTTCAGGTCTCCACTCCTTTCCAAGCCTCCTGGTTCGATGGGAAGACAACTTATTCAATGCAGAGGGGAGCTGATGGTCTCTCCAGCCTTCTAATGTGTTGTGGCTTGGTCCTACCACACTTACTAGATCTTGAAAGCATTTTGGAAACGCACAAAGCCCTGACTCCCAGCTGGCCAGGCTCTCATCCCACACAGAGAGGCTTTTGCTGCTGCTAGTAGGGTAGAGGGGCACAGGTACACTCTCTATATCCATAGCAGCATTCCCTACACTGGTTAAAAGTAGACTTGGTGGGACAATGGGCTGAAAAACAGGTAACATAGTACTTATGTCCTGTGTCCAGCGTCTCCAAAAATTGGTTGTGGATGCTCCAAGAAAGGTGAAATGCTAGAGATGTTTCCAGTGCTGCAAAATGACTGGAATAAATGATGTTTGGGCTGTATAGCAAATGGAGATACTGCACGCTTTGAGGGCTTTTTTTTTTTTTTCAGAAGTATATTACAAGGGTGCTTTCTACTTGCCCCAAGAGCCTTTCCTGACCCTGCACTTTAAGCAATGTGTTTTTTCTGATGAAAACTCACTTGGTAAGAAATAGAAAATTAAAAAAAGCATTTCCTTGCCCCTCAGCTGAAGTCATAGCCTGTACCTCCCCAATGCTGCAGTGGCACACTGGCACTGGTTCCAGCAGGTAAAAGGAATAAAAGCTTAAATGCTACACAGTGATATGGGTGCGTCTTCTAAGTTATACAGCAGTGGGTGTAATACTCTTTGACTTACAGATAGGTAAACATCTTTGTAGGCTAGGGAAGGGAGGGAGCACTGAAAAAGTGAATCTAATAAACACACACCTTAAAGGCTACAGCCATTTTGAAACCCTCCAAGTAATCATATGATAAACTCTGTCATCCTCCCAGTGCCCCACCTTGAGATGTTTGCTCTTGGTTTCTCCGGGGTCAGATTCATCCTGTATCTGAGATCATTAGCGGAAAAGCACATTCACACCCACATGTTCTCACTCAAGATGAAGATGTCTACCTGTGGGAAAAACATCACCTTTTTAATTAGTGTTCTAATATCCTCTGCACTTTAGAAATATCCTAGATGTTCATTAGCTGAAAAGAAACCCAGCTGTCTGCAAAGGGCACAGGCAGTGCTTGGGCTGTTGGAGCTATCCCTGGGGTGATGTGTGTTTAATGTATTTGGATTTTATAAGAGATGAAGTACAGGTTGCCTTGAAATTGTTTTGTAAGACATTGCCAGCTTATTGTAAAACATTGCCAGGTTTCCAAAAAGCTACGATTGCAAATGGCTCACAAAGAGGCCTGGTACGGGAAGGCTTACAGGTATTTAATATTAATAAGGTCCCTTAGGATTTAACAAAGATGGCAGAATTTCTGGGCAGCAATTGTTGTTCCTGTATGTGCTATCTATATAAATAGACTGGGATGAATTTTGCATATGCATTTTTATGTATTTTATGTGTGTAGATTTTTTTTTTTTAATGGAACACAAATAGAAGTGAGCAACAAACTCCATTTCTGGTTCTGTTTTTGATTTGTGTGTCCTTATCCTTGGTATTTAATATCTGTATTAAAGTCTGCCCTATCCACCAACTCAATCAGTAATGGGCATCTGCTCCACAGGCCTTTTTTGCAGCTTAGTTTCATAATGTGCTCAAGAGACCTTGAGATTCTCTGGCCAATGGTCCTACAATAACACAAGGTACTCTTTGAATATGCCTGCTTCCTTTAACTCTCCCTGCTTGCTAGCATCTTGTCTGGCCTTTATCTCTGGTTCTTCATTGTTTATACAGGGAGAGGCTACTCACAGTGTAGGGCCAGACACCAAATCCTAGTGGCTTACAAGTTTAACAGAAGAGGGATTGATTGGCTCCAGGATGGGTGACGGATACCTGAAAGGATGAAGATAGAAAGCTGTGGGAAGGAGTCAATAAACAGTTAACGTTTGAAGTGGAAGAGTGGCTATAGCAGCAAAATATTGGAAAAGCTGCAGACAACAGTATCACTGACAGATGGGAAGTTAGTTAAAAGCCAAAATCTGATTCTGAACCCATTTAATGGGTTCTAGGTACATCCTGTTGCAGTTGGAAGCCGTGTTGGTCTGGAGAGCCCTTAAGACTAAGCTCAGTGTAGAAATCTCCAGGATACTGGAAAAAAACATCTGAATAGCTGTGCGGTGTTGATGTACACCTCCTGTATTAAAATAAAAAATAAATTACTGAATGTCAGGGAAATTTCTCCAATTCATTTGTGGATTAAAATTTAGAGAATCATTGTCCCAGCTGATAAGAGTCTGTGTATTTGAATTTCTTAGAAGATTGCTAGGCTGAGTCCCCTGACTTGCTCTGTGGGACCCTCAGCTCTCTTACACTGTCAGTTTTGTGTCTGCTCTTCCTAGAACCTGGAAGAATGCCCAGCTGGGAGAAGCCATGATCGAGAGCCTGGAAGCCCAAGGTCTGCAGCTGGCCAAGGAGAAACAGGAGTATTTAGGTAGGAAACTTTTACTTCCAAAAGCTATTAACCCCAAAATAGCCATTTTGCTTTTCTGGAGTTGTTGGTGTGGTCAAGCCAAGCAGCTTTTACTGTTGACTTTTACTGGATGAAGCTTTTGAGTAGTCAGCAGCTGAAATTCAGGTTCAGCTATATGAAGTGTGAGAGAAAGAACGTACTTTGGCCAGCATGCTGCAGTCCTGCAGCTCCTGATGGCTGGACTGTACAAATGTTTGCTGCCCCTGAGAAGTTTGGATGTGCTGATTTCAGCTGCTTGTCAGGCAAACAGCCAGTGCATTTCTCTCCCTGAATCACAGAGGACTGGTATTTCTGAGGCTGATCACAGCTTTTCATGCATGAGTTTTCCTCTTCCAGCTGTTTTTTTCGGTCTTACTCTGCTTGGTCTTTGTCTGCATTTGCTCACACTGTTCATATTGGAAGTGGGGAGCATTTACTTGAGGTGTCTAATGGCAGTGGCTAATTTGTCACTGCTCTCTCTGTGGGCAATGGAGAGAGAGCAGTTGCGTTAGATGAACATAGAAGAATTTAGGTTGGAAGAGACTTCTGGAGGTTATCTAGTTCAATACCCTACTCAGAAACCAGCCTCTGGATGGCAGTCCCTTGGGTGCTCTGACTGTCGTGGGAGGTCCAGGGTTTCTTCTCCATGTTGCCTACAGCAAGAGCCAAGGGAGCCTTTTTAACCCAAATGCCTCCTAAGTTAGAGATTCCACAAGTCCTTCTGACCTGGGGACTGCTGATCACATGTGACTTGTCAGGACCGTCATCTGCTTTAAACAAGATAGCAGCAACTTTGGGTGCTTCAGGGGCTTGTGGTATCTACTCCTAATCACCAAACCACTGGAGGAAACTTGAAGAGCCTTTTGCATTTCTGCATCCATGCTGATACGGGGTAATCTCAATATATGGTCTCACATGTAACAGGGATCATAACTGAAGTATCAAGGCATGTTCATTCTGGCTATCTAAGCACCATTCGTACAAGTGAGCTGATGGATGAGTTCGTATGTGAGGCAGGCAGGGAGGAGTGGTTCCACACCTGACCAAGGGATAAGAAGTGCTGAGAGGAGGACCTGGAGAGACATGACAAAAATGAGAAACAGTAAAGTTTTGCAACCACCAGAGCAGACTTAAGAGCCTAAGAAACTAAAGAGGAACAGAGTACAATAAAAGCCAAGGTGATAGAGGAATAGAGGAATACATCTTCTGTGGCAAAAAGGTATTTGGAATATAAAATATATATTTCACTGGGTTCTTTGGTCTATGACAAGAACATTCAGAGCTGGTCAATTGTCACAGTTGGTTACTTTTTGACAGCTTTTGTCTATTTATTCCTGTATAACTGCTGAGGATTCTGCCTCATTAGCCTCACCTTCAGTGATCTGTGTCCATCCTGTAGTTAAGCTCTGAGGTCGGGCATTGCTCCTGGCAGCAAGTCAAGGCTCTCTGGAGGAAGCAAACACTGTTCTGGAGATTTCCCTGAATACCCTCAGAGTTACCTTCCACCTGCCCCCAATCCAGATGGGGTTTCTCTCTCAGGCAGGGACTTTGCAGAAGCCCATCAAGCCCTAGGTCTGCCCCCTCCCAGGAGAGGGAGAGCTCTGTGCAGCATTACAGTGCAGTTGTGCTGGATCCTGGCAAAGAGGAAGAGGAACAAGAGTGGGAAGGAAAGAGTAGTGGTGGTCAGCAGAGCTTTAGTGATGTAACACTATTGCTGTGGCACCAGCAGCCCTGCTGTGGGTGGGAGGTAGAGGTCTACATTGTTCCTAGCAGTAGTAATCCTGCCAGCAGTAGTAATCTCTTCAGGTCCCCAGTACAATGGAAACTGGCAGCATCTTCTTCGCCTGATAAGGGTAAGACTTAAATCATAGAGTGCTACAGCGAATCTGCCCCTGCTCACACGGCAGCCAGGTGGCAGAGCTGAGAGGTAAACTCTAGCTTATTTAACTATGGGGAATGTGTTTCTGTCTAGTCTACTGTAAGCACGACTAAGAGCTGCCTAAAGCAGAGTCTCTGTTCAAGATTAGAGCGTAGCACTATGTAGGTACATCAGGTCACGGTGTAAGGATCAGAGCAGAGTCTCTGGCGGGCATGTGTCCTTTTCAGTAGACAAAAGCAACTGATGTTGAGGGGAACAATTCTTAACAGCTAGAAGTTTTATGGCTCAGGGGTTCAATTTCTGGGCTTGGCTGGGACATGCCAAGATGACAATAGGGTGTTGGCAGTGATGCCCAGGCTGTTGAAGGAGAGGGTGATGTACTAGGTGGGTAGGGATGGGGCACTGAGCCTCGGGAAGAAAACTGACTGCTGCTATGTGGTGTGTGACCCTGTGCACCCACTTAACCTGTCCGTGCCTTTGCTTCTTCATGTATGAACCAGGGATAAGAGTATTTTCCCGACTCAGCTAGAGGATTGTGAAGGTTAGTTTGTTAATGATCTTTAAGAACACTGAGAGGAAACCTCAGAAGGAGTACACAGCAATATGGTTGTTTAGTTTATTAAGTTGTTTGGCAGGAGGGAAATTACAGAACATCCTGTTAGTGCCATCTCAGCCTTTGGAGCCTCCCAGACAGATACACACAGAGCAATAGAGAAAGCTGCATTTTCAAGCCTCAAACAGTGTTTCATGCTCATAAATATCCCCAGGATATAAACGACTTTTCTCTACATTTGTCCTCTGTCTGTGTGTGTCTGCAGATAAGCTAATGGAAGAAACAGAAGAGCTGTGTCTGCAGAGGGAGCAGAAAGAGGTGAGTGTTCATCACAACCCAATTTCCTTCAATTTCCCTATGGCAGGACTGGGAGGCTGGCAATTGTTGGTTTGGAGGCATGTTAGGGTTCAGGGTGGGAGGCTGCAGAGCCAAAAGCATCTCCAGGCAGCCTCTGAGCCCTGTGGATGAGAGAGGAATAAGAGCTGTGCCAATAAACAGACCTGACATTGTTCTAGTGTAGAGATATTGTGAGAAACAAGGAGCAGCAAAAAATAATGTGGCTTGTTATTTGAACACACCAGAAATGGGGAGAATAATAAACATTGCATTAGGGAAAACTCAAGAGAGCATTCCCTTAGATATGAATATTATACCTTAATTTATCAAGTTTGTTATTGTTTTCCAAACGAATCCTAACTTATATTTGCTTAATAAAAGTAGCTTGTTCTTATATTTACAAATCTATTATTTGCAAATCTATACTGGTTTTTATAGCACCATCATAAAGTTACTGCAAGATAGCTTTGCAAATGGGTTGTCCTGTCACGCATTAGGAAAGTCTACATGGATGTAGACCACCACATTGCAATCTTGCAAACAACTGTATAATCTCCTCTTCAGTTCATCCAAAATGACTGTTGCCTCTCTTTGGTAAAAACGGCAATGCTGACCTAGACTTCTCTGGCCTAGCTTTTTCCTGTGTACATTTCTGGAGAGCTAAAGTCCAAATAACGGTGGCTTGGACACTCTGTTAGGGCTAAGCTACTTCTGCCTTTGCAGTGAGAGGCCAGCTTCTGGTGAGGTAGCCCGCTGCACAACCCACAGGCACAGGGAGGGAAATGCCCTTGTCTAAACACCATGGAACAAATCTCTGCTTTTACAAAGCCATGCATGGTATCTCCGTTGTCCACAAAGAGCAGGAGGGGTCAGATTAGTTTGAAGGAGTTTGGGACTGATGAAGAAATGAATATATAGCTCACTGAGCTGTGGCGGTCTGACCTGCTGTGAGCCTGAAGGCTTCAGAGCAATATGCTGGGAAAGCAGCTTGAACCACGTGTCTGCACCATGAGCAAGAGTCTTTTATCTGGTGTCAGTGCTGTTTTGTGACCTGCCTGGGCCTGCAGCAGGACTCCTGCCTAGCAGCTAAGGCTGCAAGGGGACCTGACCAGGAGCGGGACCCTTGCTGTTCTTAATCCCTGTCTCCCTCCATCTGTACTAGGTCTCAATACAACTGAATCCTCTAGACTAAGGGAAGAGTCTTTCACTGCTTGAAGATAGGTAGTGGCATTCAGGGCTCTTTAAGCACGGTTTTATTAGCACAAAAATAGCGACGGGCTGATTAAACTGTGCAAAGCTGTAGCTATGCAGTTTGTGTTTGCCTGTGCCGGTGGGGATGGGAAGCAAGGCTGAGCTAGAGGAAATATCGCTCTTCAGGCACTGCAGTGCTGCAGCTGTCACATTCCTGTCTGGGCTTTCTGTATCTGCACATGGAAATATTAGGTGCATGTTGAGTCCAGCTTTCCCAGAGACTTTGCACCTTTCTGTATATGTGCAGCAGAGCTGATCTGTGCAGGGAGCATGTCTGGGATTTCCAGGTGCCTGGTAACCTGGCTGGGACTTTGGGATCTCTGGAAATTCTTAACCAACGTTCAGTCCCTTCTATTTGCCTGCTAGACGAAACTCTGGTGGAATCAGATGCTATGTGGCTCTACATAGTTCGGGATAAAAATCCCAGGCATTGTTAAAAGCCTTTCCTAACTGTGAGTGTGTCAGCAGAGTACATTCCTGTCTTCTCTTTCCGTCCAGGAACTCGAGCGTCTGAACCAGGTCCTGGAAGCAGAGAAGCACCGTTTTGAAGAGGTTGTACGGGAGCTGCGGGTGGAGCAGGAGCAGATCAGATGGTAAGGCAGCAAACTGCGTGGGGCAGGAAAAGGACATGAACACCCATGCTGGGCAGAAGTGCTGCTGAGGTGGTGAATCAAAACAGTTCGTAAAATACACATATTTTGTGCATGCAGGAAAGGAGATAAATTCTATATTGACAAAACCAGGGACAGTTGAGATCTGTTGAACTGCATTTGCTATCATTTCTGTGACCAATAGTATACAGCATAGTTTCAGGGCTCCAGCAACTTCATTTTCAAAGGGCTGGGACATGAGCAAACCCCAGATTAGTCGGGGTAGCATGGTAACAGCCAGGTGCTAGAGGACTTCAGAGAGGCAGTCTGAATGAGTGACCAGCCATGTAAGCTCTAGACATCTGAATCTGGTTTTCCATCGTCAGAAGAATGACACTGGGTGGATGATGAAGTTGCCTCACCAAGGATAATTTTGTCATTTTAAGAGTCCCACTGTGCAAAATATGAATGCAAATGAATTTAGAAAGGGAAGGATCCAAGAAGTGCTTTGCCCTGAGTTTTGAAGGGGCATGTTTTACCATTGCCCTCTTCTTTTTTTCCTTTTCTTTCCCTAAATAACATCTCAGAAAAGCCAGTGTGATTTTTGCAAATAATTTATGTTTTCATAGACCTTCATCTGCTTAGATATGACTGCCCTGTCTGAGCTCTTCCAGTTGCAGCTGTGGCCCTGCCCTTGCCAGAAGCACACTGTAACAGGTGGTTTGGGTTTGATGATCAGGAGGCACAGTAAAGTTCTTGGATGCCCGTAGTGTGTTCAAGGTGTGATGCTTCCTGGCAATCTCCTGTCTCTCCAGGGCTGCCCACACCACGTACCAGTCACAGGTCCTGCACTGAGTTCCATAGCCTGCGCAGTCTGTGGGGCTAGTGTTCCCCTGCAATAGCTATTACCCTTTTTGCTTCTTTAGGGAGCTAGAGCTCACAGCCCGCTCCCTTAAAGGAGTGGAGGAAGAAAAGAAAGAGTTGCGAAGCCTGACACAGTCCTTACAGAAAACCCTAGAGGTGAGTGACCATTTCTCTCCTCTGAGTGACAGCATTTTGGGAACGATCTATGAGAACTGACCAGGGCTGAAAGCAATGCTATCCTGTGGAATGAATCTAACATCTGCTAGTGCCGGAGTTGTCCTGTGTGGGTGAACAGGTTCATTTGGTAGCTGATATGAAGGCCAAAACCCCGTGCAGAAAAGGACTTAGAAGTGATACGGAGTCCGGGAGAACTAAGCTTTTCCCAGCAGTACCAGGTGATGTGATGTAGGACAATAACCATAAGTTGCAGTTTGGGAAGCTCAGGTCGAACACTAGGAAGAAAGTTTTCACCAGACAGGTAGGTAGGCAGTGGGAGAGATTGAGGAACTTCCATCTTGGGAAGTTTTCACAACCTGACTGTAGAAAGCCACAGCTGACCATATCTTGCTGTGTTGACAGACCAGCTCTGAACAACAGGCTGGACTAGAGCCTACCAGAGGATCCCTTACAGCCAACATGTTTATAAGTCTGTGATAACTTTCTTTTTTTTTTGTGTGTGGGTTGTTTTTTTTTGGTTTTTGTTTTTTTTTTGGGTTTTTTTTAACTGCAACTCCCTAAGTGCTGGTGGAAATTGGAGCAGTAGAGAGGCATCAGTTATTCACAGAAGGGAGCATGGTTCCCAGGGAATCCTGTACCACAGTGGAATTTAGGAAACAGAGTGTGGATGTATTAAACCCTTTACTTACTTGGTATCACTCTGGTGGATTGGTGGAAAGTGGCTTTTCTAAATGTATACTCTTTGTGAAACTTCCATACAGCTGGCCTTCTTGAAGCCTCAACATTGTCCTTAATGTTTGTGTCAGATCCTGCATGTTTGTCCAAAAATCTGTTGCTGATGTTCCTTTAAGCTCTCCTCCTTGCCTGCAGTTATGGGTATAAAAAAAGAACTGGAAAGCTACGGAAGGACCATTCATGCCCTAGTTGCACACTGGACTGAGCACTTCAAAGGAAAACACTGTGATATGTCCTGTTGCCCTGCAGTTAGAAGTACCAGAGGGGATGCCTCTAGTTCATGCTGAGGAGAGAGGTGAGGAGGGAAGGCAGGAAAGCTGCTGGCACTGGTGATGCACTAGGGAAGCACAGGGCTCCAGTCCCTGAGCTGAGTCCTTACTAGCATATGATGTCAAAGGAGCCTGCAGGTTCTCACCCCCTTGCATAGCAAAGGTTATGGTGGAGGCTTGCTCCTCACAAAGGCAGGTATGAAATAAAAACCAGATTTTGTTATTCTTGGTTTTAATCTGAATGAGGCATGTGGATGTAAGGATGGAGGGATTCAGTAGGGAGGAGCCAGGCAGGAACAGGAGCAGCAACGTCTGACTTAGCTGGTACTCACAATCTCTGCCCTTCTTCAAGGAGCTCTCCCTGGAGAAGCAGCAAATGTTGGAGATGCTGGAAGAAAATGAGAGCCAGCTCCCACCTCCAGCCAGCCCCAGCAAGGAGCAGAGCCCCATCTGGGGACTGCACTGCAGCCTGCAACAGATTGAAGAGAAGATGCAGAAACTTATGGAGGAGAAACTCCTGGCAGAGAAGAGGTAAAGTGGAGCAGGATAAAAAGAGGTAAAAAGGAGCAGGGGCTCTTATGGTGGTGCCAGAGACAGGGATGTGGGACAAGGTGTGATCCAGTGTGAAAAGGGTGGTGGGAAAAGAGATGGTTTTCCCCCTTGCAGGTGGAGGGCAATCAGAAAGGATATGGCTAAATATTTCAGGCTGAAAATTAGGATCCCTTCAAAACTGTTTCCCTGTTTATTCTGAGACCTGCAGAGAGGCAAGATCCTTTATCATTTCTGATCTTGGATGTGGTAAAGGGAAGAGGACACTTCTGCTGTGCTCAGCCTTAGTGGTGCCAAATGATGTTGACTATCTGCTGACTTGCTTTTTGGTTGCCAACACAAGACAAGCCTGGAAGCTTGTCTGGTTCCCATGGCAAGAGTTCAGGTTATAAATGCTTCAGAGGGGTCGGAGTGAGGCAGGGCACCTGAACTTGCTGCTGCTTGGACCTGCTCCTTTCAAGTAAGGATTTAGGCATGTGAATCCATTTGGTGTTCATGGACCTGTCCATAACAAGTGTTTGGTGGTCCTGGGCCTTGTCTGGGGGTTGACAATGTTCTATTCGGGAACTGTCCACCTGGATTTCTCCAGCAATGCCTGTGGTGTTGAAGTGAAACACAGAGAGCACTCCTGTTAGCATCTCTGCTCAGGGCAGCCAGGTAGTTAAGCATGCACCGTTGTGATACTAAGCCCCTTTTTCCTGCGTGTGTGGTGGGAATGGTTGTGTTCCTTTGCTGTGCCATGCACCAGGATGAAAGAGAATGAGGAGCGGTCCCGAGCACTGGAGGAGGAGCGGGAGTTTTACTCTTCCCAGTCACAAGCGCTGCAGAACTCACTCTTGGAGCTGACTGCGGAGAAGCAGCAGACGGAGAGAGACCTCAAGGTATCCCCTGCGTGTGTTGCGTATTGCTGTCCCTGGACCCAGAGTTATCTCGTTTTCCTTTTCAGTTCATCGCCTATCAAGTGGGAGTCTTGGTTTGGTTTTGGTTTTGGTTTGTGGTCACAAATCTTCATTTGCTATGCTTCATAACATGGTAACACATGAAGTTGCCATGTTGTGTCTATGTAGCACTGATATTTATTTTCTCATACTGAGGCCTGACTAACCCATTCAGTAAAAGTCGATTTTCATCTGTTACTGTGAATGCATCATCGAATGATGGAAGGAGGAAAAAAATAAAAAAGACAAAAATAGACAATATCCAGAATAAAGATTATTTTAAAGAAATACTAATATGACATTGCAGAACTAAGCAGAAATCTTGCCTCCTCACTTGTGCTCGGAGCATTAAGATTAAGGTTTGTAAATCTTCAGGAACCTCTGCATGAAGTTGGGTTCAAAAGCAGAGGAATGCAAGTGAGGTAACAGCTCCCCTTTGTTATCCTAGTAATGGAAGCTACCTTAATCTATACAAAGGTAATTGGAAAAATTACCTTTTTTCATCTAAATAATGTAAAGGTTATGCTTTATTGACTGACACTCAACTGCCTTCTACAAATATTGTGTCAAAACCCCCCCAATTATTCTTTTTCCTGCAACTCCAAGATTTTCTTATCCTGTAACCTTTCACTTGGCCAGACTAAAGCTAAGTTGACCCAAGCTGTATTAGTTATTCTCATTTGCTAAGAAATTACTGATATTATCCTTTGTTTCTACCTTTTCTTCTGTTTTGTTTCTGAAACTAAGTACTGTAAACCCCTTTGTGGGAATTGACGGCCTTTATCTCAAGTCCATCTCAGCTGAAAAGATGCAGCTGCAAGCACAAATTCGTGTGTTGAAACATCATCTCTGAATCCACATGGTTCATACAGTGAGAGGGAAGCTATGAATATGAAAGCCAGAGTAAAGAATTACTGAAATAATATGGACTTCAATTTCAGATTCTGCCTAAAGATATGAGAAACAACTCTATGTTATCTTAAAATATTTCTATTCGTTTTCCTTACTGTCACCTTTTCATTTTCATCTGCTTAGCGGGTCCCTCACAAACACTGTGAGCTAGCAGAATAGTTATTGAGATGCAAGCTGGTTTTCAGCAATGTTTATTCTCTTCCTCAGGCTGAGGTGAAAGTGCGCATGGATCTGGAGAAGAAGCTGAGAGAAGCTGAGGAAGCATTGCAAAGCTTGGAGCAAGGCTTAAATTCTCTGGATTGCAACAAGGAGAAAGAGGAGAAGATGAAAGCAGATGTCAGTAACTTGAGAAGTAAGTCAGTCATCCATCTTCTCTACTGATGAGCAAGCTGTGAGTGAGAAAATGTTTCTACCCATCTTCCAAGACACAAAAAGAAGTTCCCAAATTAGCAAAGCTGCACATAATGTGCTCTCCTAACTCCTTGTACCTCAACCACACTTCCTTTTTGAGGAGCCAGAACATGCTATGCAGGCACTTAGTGTTTTGCCCTCAAAAGAAGACAAAATCCCAGACTTCCCTGTTGGCTGGAAGACAAACCTAGGGACAGAGACGTGTGAATGCTTTCTAAACTGTCAAACAGGGAAGCTTTGACAGAGCTGTGAAGACTGACTAGGTCTGAGTATAAAGGGTCCTCTGATGCTCCTCAAGACAAACTTCTCATAGCCTTGGTTACAAGATCATCAGCAGTTTAAGGAGGGCCATGGTTGCGGTAGCAGTGGGCTGGTAGGTGACCCAGCAGGTGAAGTTTGGATCCCTACTCAGAGCTGAATCACTGCCTAAGTGCAGGACTGCTGTGCAGAGATGACTGGAGCCCACAGGTCAGGTGTAATACTCAGCTTTCTCACAGCTTATTCCTGTTTCTTTGCCTTTTTTTTCTTTTTTTTTTTTTGGTAAGATAGGGCATTATCCTAGCATCTGGCTTGAGTCAGGTTTAGGAATTGACATTAGCAGCTTCAATTGGGTGAAGTCTTGCTTGTTTTCCACCCTCAGGTATACAAGATATCATATATATCCTCCCCTCAGCAAGGGGAATCTGTTATGCAGATGCTGTATCTGTGCAATTATGGCTTAATTTCAGTGAAAGGTGGATGTATTGGACAAATACAGAAAAGTCAAAAAGTCCTGTGGCATTCTGAACACTGTTAAGTATATATATTTATGTAAGTATAAATACATGTATAAATAGTTTTATATACACACACAGGTTTATAATTCATGTATATAAATATATGTAAATAAGATAAGTATTATTCAGTAGATTCTGCATCAGATTTCTAAGCTGAGACAAAAGGGGATGATTCTGAACTTCATCCCACTGGCTCAGAACCATGGTAAGAAAACAGAGCTAAAGTGGATGTGTTGAGCTCAGCATTTAGCTAGAGCGGAGCTCCTCTACAGGCCATAAGTGAGTAGCCTCTGGCACTGAATGTCTCCTGACACTCATTGCCAGTCTTAGATTTTGGACGATGTTTTCTTCAAAAGAAATGTACTGATGAGCAAAACATTATCAGAGTTTGGACATGGGGCTTTGCATGGAGCCTGTAACATATGTATGTGCTAGTAATTGCCGTGCTGTTAGAAACTGCCGGCCATGTATGACCTGGGTGTGTATGTCTGTGCCAGCGTTGCCAACACTTCCCTTTCTGCTGTTAGACTGGACTGGTTTTATAAGTCCTTCAAAGAAAGTGCAATGAGCAAAGCTTTGGACCCCTCTGTTGCAAGAGAGTTGAGAAGTTTTTATCATGATATCAGATGCTTTTGGCGTTGAAACGTGAAGAGTTGTGGGAATGATTGATGGGGAATGGATGGTTGCAGTTCTTTCTGTAATTTGAGTATGTGTTTGTTGGGGACTGGAGGTTTTTGTCACTTTGAACTTGTTCCTTCTGATGATATTCTGGAGCTTTGTTGTTTGTGAAGATCTAGGGAGATGTAGAACATCGTTACCTGGCTTAGCCCATCAGCGAGTGCAGCCCCTTGTGGTTAGTTCATTGCTTAAAGTGTATCTCCTGTCACTGCTCAGAGTGATGTCTTCTTCTCAGAGTTCTTTGAAGAGTGCATCCGCAACGCTGAGCTGGAGGCCAAGATGCCCGTGATCATGAAGAACTCTGTGTACATCCACAAGGCTGCCACTCGTCGCATAAAGAGCTGCCGCTTCCACCGCCGGAGAGCCAGTGCTTCGTGGAATGACTGTAGGTATTGCGCAGCTTCTTTCTCTATCCTGCAGGAGCAGATAGGTACAGCTGAGGCTGACAGAGCAGTGAGGTCTGCAAATCTCGTTCATATTTCATATTCCCTAGTAGTAGAATAGAGCTGCAGAGAAGCTTGGAGCTTCCTTACCCAGAGAGCAGGCACCCAGTGTGCATACTGGTTGCCTGTCTCTTCGTGTATGTTGAAAAGTAACTGCTGTGATGGTCCTGGGCCCCTAAAAAAAACATGCTCAAAGCTGAATTAATCTGAATTCTTAATTGTAGACTGAGCTAGTTTGGGAAGGGACACCTGAACATTATCTAATACAAACCAGTGCTCAGAGTGGCTATCTGCAAGGTTAGAGTACGTTCTATATACAATGTGCAGCTGTAAATAAGAAAAGTATGTCTCCATGCTGTCAGCATTTTTCTTCTGAGAACAGTAAGGTGAAGCTGTTAGAGTGCAATGGTTAGCTTTTACCCCTTGCCAAGCTCTCAGTCCTGTTGATTGCATGGTTCATGTGCTCTAGTGAAGCTTTGTCTTCAGTTTGTGTCCCTGATGGATAGCACTGATCCTTCTGTGCTGCTCTCGTTTCAGTGAAGCAGTCCCAGTCCTTCATCTTCTCGCACTCAGAAGCTGAAAACATTGAAGAGCTGAAAGAAGCAGCCAAAAGACTGAGCCGGGACCAGCGCTTCAGGAAAACTATCTATCAAATCATGAGGTCGCAAAAAGATTCTGCTTCAGGGGATGAAAAGTGACTCTTGTTGGGAGGGTGCTTCTGACAGCAACTTGCCATTCAGCTCCACAAAAGTTACGCCATTGGGCTCTAGGCAGATTTGTCTTTTGGTGGGGAAAGTGGGGGAAAGTTGTGTGTAAGCAATTCCCTCAGTTAGTGGCTTTGCTTTAGTTTGAATGCTCCCTGTAGCCTGGCAGACCTTCTCTGCTGATCACTCCAAATCTGCTTGCTTCAGCTGCTTACGTTAAGCCACATTTTGCTGAGATACCATGGTCAGTGTTAAAGTGAACCACAGACCGTAGCTTAGGAAGTGCCTCTTCTTTCCTTTCCTGTCTAGTCTGTCTGCCAAACACAAGTGCTTCTGAGAAAGCCTTTGATCAACCTATGCTCCAGCTAGTGTAACCTCCCCAGCTGGACACAGCTTACCCTGTTCTGCCTGATCCCCTCGAGGAAATGGCTCGCTGCACCCCCCCGGCCAGTCAGCACTTCAGTGGGGCACATTTCCTCAAGACTGCAACAGTCCTAGCCTCCCAAGCACAGGCAGGAATATCAAATACAGGGCAGCCTCTTGGTGTTACATCATTTCAAGCAAATGGTAGCAACACAAGGTGAAGACAACCCAAGGATGTTATGGATTTGACTCCAAGGAGGATCATGTGCAGAGAAGAGCTTATAGGTAACACAGTGGCATTGATGCAAGTTGGAGGGAGGGTTGCTTTGTGCTGACTGTGGGCAGAATATCCTGGGGCCACCTTTGCATTTGTTTTTGCATTGGGACATCTGGCTGTGTCATTGTCAGAAGGAGGAGCAAAGCTGTGTGCTGCAGAAGGTGTTATCTATAGGCTGATTCAGAGCCTTTGACTCTGCTCTGGTGGCTTCCTCATCACCTCTGTAAACAAGCCGGAGGACAGGTGGGTGAGGTGTCTCCAGCAACAAAACCCACTCCCACCTGGAGAATTAAACATTGTCAGCAGCAAGCTGTCAGCGCTGAGAAGGTGCGGAAAATAATCTCTGTATGTGCTGCAGTGAATAGCCTGTGTTTAAGGCTTTGTACTGCTCTCTACCAGTTCTCTTAATTGCAGTCCAGGCTGTCTTGGTTAAACTGAGACCTCTGGTAAGTCAAGGCTGGATTGGGAGAGGTGTTGTGGACAGCCTATTCAGAGGTGGGCTTCTGGCTGGCCTCTGTCCCCTGCCAAGCATTCACCATGTGGTTACTGCAGGGAAGGATTTGCCCTGCATGTGATCATCTTGTACATTATAGGAGAAGAAACACTTTGTTGTGGAAACCTTGCAGCTTCTCCCACTGATTTTAAGCAGGCAGCTGGCGAATAATTACCCATGTTATAGTAATAGCGCTGCCTGGTGCTTACAGAGCATGCCAGGCACACTGAGTGACGCTGTTATCCCCGTGGTATAAATTGGGAAACAAAGGAATAAACAATACAAAGGTGAATGAAGTTAGCAGCAAAGGTACAGTTAGGGCTCAGGGGGTCTTAAGTGCAGACTTATTGGGCCTTTCAGGGCTGTACCTCTCATGAGTACCCCTGGGTATTGCATATGTCCAGTGACACTGGGGAGCTGCTTCTCTGTCCCCTGCAGACTGTGACACTGTCCAGTCCCAGGCTTTGGCTTCTGACCACCTCAGTCATTCCCTACCAGTTCAGTGCTGTTTCTAGGGCGAAGCCAGGGATGAGGGTGGGAAGGGAGCCCTGGCTTGCCAGCCAAAGGAGAGGCGTTGATGCTGGGTGGAGGAGCATACTGGAAGGGCGTGATGATCCTGGAGGGGAGTCACTCTGCTGTGACCAGAGGAAAAGCATTGAAGGCACAGCCTATACTTTCCATTTCAGGCAGTTACTGACCAGTATCCTTATGCCAGGCAATGGGAGGTTTTATACAACCCAAGGGTCCAGCACTGAAGGCTGACATTTTTGTGATGACAGGTGATGCAATAGGAAAAGAGAATTTGCATCCCTCCTTAGCATACCTTCATCCTTCTGTGTTTTTTCCACTTGTGCTTGCATGCTAGAAAGTCACAAATGAATTCTTGCTCCTACAAGGCTGTGAAGGGCTGTGTGAGAAAGCAATACAAGCTAGTTTTCCCCTTTACAATGTCCTCACATCACCTCTGGTTATTTTCCAGTTACAAGGTCTATATTGTGTGATGCTGGAAGGGACAGAAAAAAGGGACAGCCAGAGAGCGTATCTGTAATTCAGGCAGTTAGGAAAATCACCCTGTGGCTTGTGAATGCAGCACCTTTGATCTAGTACCATCAAAAGCCACAATATCAGACTTTACAGAAGTACTGTGCTCAGGGGGTAGCCTTTACTGTGCATATTGACAGCAATAAATAAATAAAAGTTACGCTGACACTAGAGTGAATTCCTGTGTGTTCTTGAGATGCTGTCACTGAAATTATGTTAAATTGCCTCTGCACGAGTTGAGACAAATCATTGTGACATGCTCATTTACTGCCAGTGCGCTTCCTCTGCTTCTCTGACTTGTGTTACGTGCTTACCATCACCTCCCAAAAGGACTGGCTGGATGTAAAATGCTTTCACCTTTGCTACCCACTTCCACTTTTAAAATGTGTATGAAGTTAAAGCTAGGATGTATCAAATCTAAAGAAGAAACCTCCCACTTGCTTACCTGAAGCCAGTGAGCACCTTTGTGTAACCAGCAAGGCATGTCCTAAGCCACCTGTGGGAAGGTGCCTGCCACCAGTCGTTCCTTGCTGCAGATACTAGTTCTGGGGAGGAATCTACTACCCTGTAAGCTCCCTGGCAGAATCAGCACAGAGCTGGGTCTATGCACCATAGCATCTTATCTAAGTGACTGTCTCCTTATTCTGTTTGAAAGGACACAGAATTACTGATTTCAATGTTACCTATGTATTTTTAATGCAACTCAGTAACAGGCAGATAGCTTAGGGAGCAACTCACCTCTGTTCAGATAACCTCCACTAGTAATCCTGGATCAGATCCCTTTCTCCTACTGGGAAACCTGGGAATGAGATGAGAACTCCCTCCACTGAGGAGAGTCCCTAAATTGTTCCCTGATGTCTGAGGATAGGAGAAGATATGGGATGGTTTGCACCTCTAAGGTTTCTCTTCAGAATTTGCAGGACAGCTAGACTGGCTCTGAAAAGCCTGTGGCAATTCTTCCACCACCTCCACCTTCTGGCTATCATCTGAGAACTTCTCTTCCCTCTGAAGACTTTCCCTTTTGTGCCCTTCAGAGACATTTAAAAATATGGTTTCATTTGCAGACACTGCCAAACATGAAGCCTGCTGATTCTCCTCTGCAGTGTCTTGCCTACTTTTTGCAGCGTGAACAGTGGCTCCTGCTAAGGTCAATGATTAATTTCATCCCCCACATAAGATGCACGAAGCCTCCAGGCTGTTTCAGTCCCTGGTGTAAAAGAGTGGCTCCTGCTGAAGAAGAGGGCTCTGGCAGCTCCCCTGGTGCTCACTGCCCCAAGGCTTTGCTCTTGCACAGAAGTAAATGGCAGGGAAAGGCAGGCAGTGCCAGCCCCGCTGCCTCCAGTGTGTGTTGCTTCTAAAGCAGGGAAAGTGGACAAGAAATGGAAACTGCCCTCGGGGTCAGAAGTCAATAATAAAGAATAAATGGTTGCTGGTGCGTGTTAGTATTGCTGTGCAGGGCACACAAGTGACACAGGCTGGTAGCAATTTTTAGCTACAAAGTATGGCTTTGTTTTCGCTCAAGATGGTAGGCAGGCTTTCCGCTTAGGACATTAGTGTAACTTTGGTGTATCTCTTAGGAAATAAGATGATAGTTTTTCACAGAAATAATCTATTTTGAATGCTTTTCAATGCAGTCACATTTTTTGTGGTTGCTAGAGGGACAGAAGATGGCTGTGTCTAGTCAGGAGAAGTTTGCTCCCAGGAAGTTGGCCATGCTCTAAATGTTCTGTCTGAGGCTTAGTTTCAGGCAGGTCCTGAGGCTTGCATGCTCCTTTGTGCTGGTGTGACTGTGAAGGACGCTATTATCATTAGCATCTTTCACCTGATACACTTGTCACAAGGACAATTATGCAGTTTTTCACCTAGTTCATGCACAATTTCTTATCCACCTAGTTTGACTGTGGCTATGAATGGGAGAAATGACCAAGCCAGAAGAATTGGCTGTAGTCAGTCACCTGAGAGCTGGGTCTGGAGTGGCTTGTCAGAGTGACAGTCACCATCAGCGGGGCCAGCTGGGACCACGACCTTGGGAACTACACATGGTTTGTTGAACAACCTGCAGTGCCCTTCTGCCTACTGAGATAACAGCCCTTCTTCTAAATTAAGTAACATTTACTTTTTACTGCAGGGTTAATTCTAAAGTCAAAATGGAGAAAGATCCAACTGACTACTTAATCAGATCTGTGAGTCCTTTCTGCTCCTTTTTGCCACTGCTAGTAAGTGCCGGATATGCTGTAGTGCTGGAACCAACAGCACTTTTTTTTTTTCCCCCCCCACGTTGGCAGATCTGGTACTTCGCAGGAAGAAAAATTATAAAGGCCATTTTGTGGGGGTAGCAAAGGCACCTTTTGTTAACTCAGAGGGATTGCAATAAATAACTTGGCAGAGTCATGTGTTCTTATTTTGCTCTATTATGAAAAGTGTAAACTTTGCATTGCTTAAAATAATAAGTGAACTCTGCTTACCCTTGAGGAGTTCTTGACTGCACCCCTGCCTCAAACCTTTCTGTGGAAACCATCCAAGAACAGAGGAACCAGTCCTTTCCTAGAGCTGCTGCCCCCACCAGTTTTTTCATTAATTCTGGGGGCAGGAGAGAGCCTCTGTTTTCCTTCATACGTCAGCAGCTGCCTCCAGGAGATACCAGCCCCTGCTCCTGTGGCATGAGAAAAACAGGTTCCATGTTTTGTTGTTTTTTTGTTGTTGTTCCAAGCTCTCCAAAATAGGAGTAAATAAATTTAACATCTCCATTTTAATAAGGGGGGCTTGAGGTGTTTATGATGGGTGTGAGAAAACTGACTCACTGCAATGGGATTAGGCCCTGCTCAAAAAAAGTGCTGATGCTCTCAGCCTTGATGGAAGTATGGCTGGAGGCTTTTGTTAGAGTCACTGCTGAAAGCACAGCCGCAAACAGGGCAGCAGCATGTATGGCAGAGCTCTGTCTTTGGGACGGTTCACAAGCACTCAAGGACCCTGGGTGACAGAGGTAGGCTGTGATCTTAGGTGCACTCATCTCAGTAGCCTTCGAGGCTGTGAGAAGAATTAAAACGACGTGGCAAGAAGGTGGGAATGCTGTGGCTTTTGTAGCAAGATAGAGGACTGGATTTACTGCAAAGATTGACAAAGAGAATGAATTGTAACTCACTTGAGAATAGCCACTGTTTTAATTTCTCCTTTCCTTTCCTGTTTCTACTGGAGGCACAACACTTGTGCTCACTGTAGGTGAGAAGGTGAGGAAGCTTCGCTGGGAGTGAGATTGAAAGGTAGGAGTGCAGCACATGTGACTAAAAATTAGAGCACTGCTTATAGTGTGTTGGTGTGTTTAAAAAACAAATTGTGTGCTATGGCAAGTGCTTCTTAGTCAGAGAAAGATAGCTGTCCTATTTCTCATTAAGCAAAAACCACCTCAGGTTCCAGCTGGAGTCCAGTCCCAGGTGCTCAGAGGAAAGGGGTCTGCAGCTAAGGCCCTCTTTTCCTCTCCCCAGCTTACTGCTGCTGAGCAAGACAC